ACCGACAAAATATCTTGCCTGGGGTTTCCCGGATCGATCGATTCGTTTGGGAACAGTTGATTCAGATAAGGTAATATCCTTTTCGAATTATAATCTTTATCTAAAAATATCGTAAGCCAAAGAAATTCTGTGATGATTAAAAGAAGATGAATATCTTGTGCCCAAAGGTTTTCGGGGTTGAGGAATCGATTGGCGATATTTATTTTATTATATCTTTCACCTCTAATTTGCGATCCTGAAGTCCTTAAGTCTCTTTGCTTGTTAAAAAGTTCTCCTTTAGAGGACTAGAGCCTTTTCAATAAAACGAAAAACTTTAGTCCTCTTGTATCCTCGAGATGTGCGATACTCAGGAGTTGACTTGTGTGGCAGCTGGTGATGAAAGAACTGTCTTTTGTGGATCATCGACAGGTTGAAGATTTCGTTTTAAACAAAAATAAAATAAATCTCAGGTTGTGTAAGCGTATGGAATTTGTACAAAAAACACCCAAGAATGCGAAAAATTCGAACACTCGATGGGCACTCGGATGCGGTGACATGCATTGTAAGTTGAATGGAAAATCTTTTCTAAAATGTGTCAACTTTTGGAAAGCTATCTTGCCTTAGACTTGCTTTAGAGTCTTGTTTATCAGATCTTAAGCAAATTATTGAGGTAAGATGGGCTTGGAAAAGTCTAAAGAAAACGTGAAAACCACTTTTTTTTTTGCTCAAAATGGCTCTATATTAATCCGTTCACTAGGAGACTTTTTTTATAGTTGAAATTTAAAATCACTTGATTTTTAATATATTTCTATATGTTTTTCATTTAGGAAGTCTGCTCGGCGCACACATTTGTCGTCTCAGCCTCTCGTGATTGCTCAGTAATCGTTTGGCATGAAAGAGAGCTCTCACTCCTTCGCCAACTCCCACCCCATCCATCACCCGTTTCCGCGTTGGCTGTCAATCATACAACGGTTTAGATTCTTATTGTTATCTAATTCCTGAAAACTCTTTTTAGGGAGACATTGCATCAGCTTGCGCTTCATTGTTGTTCCTTTGGTCAATCAATGGCGATCTCTTGGTGCAGATCAATACGTCAGACTGTGCGCCGGCTCTCGATCACAATCAGATGATTGTCACGTTGGCGTTTAGCACGGTAAAGTGCTGAAATTAGCAGTGAATAGATTAGGATTCATATTTCAATATAGAATTGCTATTTCAGATTTGACTGTTAGCAATTTATCTAACAAAATAGAAAACAAGGAGAAAACAGAGGAAGAAAATAATTGAAAATTAGCAGACTGATGACTATGCTTTGCTTCAGTTAACGCGTACAAAAGACGCGAGAGTTAGTGCAAAATAGAAAACAGTTTGTGGGATCTCTTCCCAGCAAGAAAAAAGCTTAGACCAAGTCCAGGACTGGACCAGTTTCAGAACCAATTTAGAGTTACGAACCTTAGATCTGATTGGTCTAGAGCCTTGGATCCGTAGAACAATTAAAACCATTTCCAGTTGAACGAATGGGATCCGGACAATGTGGTTATGGCGGGAACAGCCGATGGAGTGGTGAAGATCTTCTCGTCGGCGATTGTTGAGAACGATGGCTCAGTGGCACCACCACAACAAAGTTTCAACACATTGGAAAGGTCGGTTGAGAATTTGACGTCTAAAAAGTTAGGCTTCTGACCTTAATCCTTTCCTTAGACTAGTTCCTTCAAACCGAATTTCTTGAACATAACTTGATCAGTTTTTTAAAACGTTTTCAGAAAGAAATCAACAAGCTCTGCGGTTTCTGTAGCTGAACGATTAGAGCGTCAAAGGCGACGCTTGAGAGTTGGAGCGAGTGTTGAGACAACGAGCAGCAGTCATGGAACGGAAGGTGGGCAAACTTTATCAACATCTTTAGCTTTTCTGTCAAGATCTTAGCTTCTTATCCTCTTATCCTCTTCTTCTTCTTCTTCTTCTTCTTCTTCTTCTTCTTCTTCTTCTTCTTCTTCTTCTTCTTCTTATCCTTCTTATCCTTGAGGCTAACCTTTAAGTGCATGTTGATAACGGTAGAAAAGTGTGGGCTTCTCAAATAATGTCATATAAAACTTTAGATAATCGTTTAGATAGTCACAGCCCGGATCCACCAACGAGCCCCTTCATTGGCGCTGATAATATGGATGGAGAGTTGGAAGAGGGCAGGTCAGCAACACTTTATACACAAGAATCTTTAGCATATCAAGTACTAATAGAAAGGATGTTATTCACTGTTTTCAGGATACCAAATATACTGTACTTTATTCTTAAATATCATTTCATTTCAGAAAAGATCCAAGAATGATCGAATCGGCTCCATGGGTGAGAGTTCTTGTGCAACGAGCTGCTCTCACAATGCACACCGCTTTCTCTAGACCAGACAATTTAAGGCCAGCTCCAATTACCGTCATTATACCATCAAAGTGAGTTTGATAAAAGAAATTCTAGAAAAAATTTTTCCTTTTTGTAGAGATCATCGCTCACTTCTCGTTGGCGATGGTGTGGGCCGTGTGTGGCAATGGCAAATCGGTGAAGAGGGAACCGGAAATCGTGCCGATCATTGGGTCCAAGATGTGGCGAGACAACGCTGCACGCATTGTCATCACAAGTTCTCGATCGCCGACCGGAAACACCATTGCCGAAATTGTGGCCAGATATTTTGTGCAAAGTGAGTGTGGTGTTCAGTAAGAAAGTAAAAGAGGTTCGAAGCGTGGGGAATAGAACCCTTAATCTTCTGCCTGATGAGATGCTCTACCACTGAGCTATGGGCACCTTCTTTACCCAAAAAGCAATAAGAAAGACAAGGAAGAGAAAGAAGAACCTTCAAGTCACGCTTTAAAGCTACCGTAACCCTGACCAAGTCGTACAGTAGTCTCTAGACTTATGAAGATCAAAGAGATTTAGGTCGGAGTTAGAGTTATGTTTGATGAAGCATGCCTTACTATTAGATTACGGTACCTATGCTGTCATGCTTTAGAGAGCTGGGTTACGGTAGGCCATTCTTTAGATCAAATTGAGTCACAGTTACGCTAGCGCTAGAGCTTTAAAGAGTCAAATCGTCTAGAGAAGTTTGTAAGTCACAAATCACTCACTCTTCTTTCAGATGTAGCCGTTTTGAGTCCCACATCACCCACATGAAGATCTCTCGTCCTGTTCGTGTCTGCCAAAATTGCTATCTTCGTTTGAAAGCTCAAACGCCATCATAAACCAAAAAATATTATTTGTAAAATTTGTTCTTTTCATTCCTCTTCAAGCTTTAACAACGCAAAATTTGCATAACTTTTAGTGATCTAACATTATTCTTTGATATTTTGACATTCCGTGTAATGGGCTTATGCAAAGATTTTAAAATGTTTAAAAAATTTTGAAAGAAAAACGTTCGAGACCGGGATCGAACCCTTCACCTGTCGAGTGACCCACAGCCGAGAGCTTTGCCAATAGACTAAAGGGGCTTGTTGACGCGGCCGAAGATTTTGCTTTTAAAGGAAAGCTCTTGGCTTGAACACTTTGAGTAGTCCTAGGGCTAAGATTTTAAACTGAAATTATCTTATAGAAATTACCGTAACCCTAGACTGAATATCTTTCACTTTTAGTTATTACCGTATACTGAATATCTTTTCTTTTACTATTCTATTGTTATTTCTCCAATTTGTGATATGAGATTCACTAGTTTTTGGGTTTCCGTTTTTTTTTGTTTTTTTTTTGCTGTAGAGTTTTTGCACTAGTCTTTACGGTAGGATCCACTTTCACGCATTTCTCTACATACCAAATAATACGAGCTTTTTTCTTTCATCTCCGTTATAGTATTTTTTTTCTGTACTCTTCACAATAAAATGTTAAAAATTAAAATGTAAATCTTATACAAAATGTCTCCTTTCATTTGGGTGAATATTTTTTTTTTGAGAAAACATTTGAACAATTCCTTTAGCAAAAGTGACAAAAAAAAGTGACAACTTACTGTATTATAGCTATCAAAAATAGCTGTCAATAATTGGGCTTTTTATTATTGTAAAAGATTGAAAAGGATTATGAGAGAAAGATCATAAAATAAAGTCATTTTAAAACATTCAAAATAGCTAAGAATCCAAGAAAATGGCTTTTCGATAACGATAGAATAACGATTAATGTTTAAATTTTTAATTCTGAAATTTCAAAGCTTACTGTAGCTTTAGATCTAGATCTATAGATCGAAAGCTATAGATCCAAAGCTCTAGATCCAAAGCTATAGATCCAAAGCTCTAGATCCAAAGCTCTAGATCTAAAGCTCTAGATCCAAAGCTATAGATCCAAAGCTCTAGATCCAAAGCTATAGATCTAAAGCTATAGATCCAAAGCTCTAGATCCAAAGCTCTAGATCCAAAGCTCTAGATCTAAAGCTATAGATCTAAAGCTATAGATCCAAAGCTATAGATCGAAAGCTATAGATCCAAAGCTCTAGATCCAAAGCTCTAGATCTAAAGCTCTAGATCCAAAGCTATAGATCCAAAGCTCTAGATCCAAAGCTATAGATCTAAAGCTATAGATCCAAAGCTCTAGATCCAAAGCTCTAGATCTAAAGCTATAGATCTAAAGCTATAGATCCAAAGCTATAGATCGAAAGCTATAGATCCAAAGCTCTAGATCCAAAGCTCTAGATCTAAAGCTCTAGATCCAAAGCTATAGATCCAAAGCTCTAGATCCAAAGCTATAGATCTAAAGCTATAGATCCAAAGCTCTAGATCCAAAGCTCTAGATCTAAAGCTATAGATCTAAAGCTATAGATCCAAAGCTATAGATCGAAAGCTATAGATCCAAAGCTCTAGATCCAAAGCTCTAGATCTAAAGCTCTAGATCTAAAGCTATAGATCTAAAGCTATAGATCTAAAGCTATAGATCTAAAGCTATAGATCGAAAGCTATAGATCTAAAGCTATAGATCTATAGATCTATAGATTGTTTTCTATAGATCTTTATCTATTATAAAATGTAAAGAAATCATTATTTAGAACTCCTAGATATTATGTAATGGTTGTTCATGAAGATGAAACAACACAAGCGTTTCGAAATGTCATTCAAACTGTTGTTGTGAGTTTAATGGGAAATTTTCGAAAAGATGGATACATTCAAAATTCTGATTACGATAAACTCAAACTTTAGAATCGATCGCTATCAGGCGCGATTTTACCGCCAAGTACCGCTCTCCTCTCGGCCGCTACTCAACAATTGTTGGCAAGAATTCCGCTAACATTGGAAAATCTAAAGGTGAGAGAGGATTCAAATTTAGTTCTAGAATTTTAAAGCTTACTGTAGCTTTCAGGCAGCTTTCCGATGTCTTACTTTACTATACGATTTGGATTCACAAAGAGGAACACAAGTTTTCTCTTCTTTCATCAAATGCTATGCGAGCTCTCCACCACTCGAAAGAGCTATTATCGTTGAAGGGGTGAGTCTTTGAAAGTAAGAATTGTGAATAAATTGAGCAGTGGACAGGATAGTAAGAGTTTTACATACAATACTTCACTTCTATTAGGTTGACAAGAAAATTGGGTATTATATTTCAACTATCGAAGACACAAGCAATGAGTTGCATTCGGGGAAAAAGCAAAACCTTAGCCGAAGTCAGAACTTGATCAGAAGAAGCTAATGAATCAGAAAATTTTACTGGGGATTACTGCCGGAAAGTACGACACTTACAGCCAGAATTTTTGGGAGAAAGAAATCATCGCTTTGCCCGATAAATGGCGATTAGCTTAAATCAATAAATGCTTAGCTTTTAAGAAAAAATTGTCCTAAATTTTTTCTACAAACTTTCTTGTCAACCTAATACGATTCACGGCTGGTCCTACAGACCGTAAGCTGTGGCTAAACTGATCGTCCCTGGCTTAGTAGGTCAGGCCAAAGTCAGGCCGCTCTTGTGCATATAAAATGATCCTGGTCTGGTTTAAGCTTGTCTGACCAGCCTTTTCTGTTCCAAGCCAATTTTGAAACGAATATGAATGGACCAATGGAGATTTTTCTCACAATTCTAGTGGAATATTAAGTTGTCCCATAAAAACCCAGAGATTTTGAATTTCATTTATTTTCAACCCATAGAAACAACGAAGAATCAGAATCAAATGATAGATTTTCCAGATGAATTTATAACTTTTCTCTAACGTTTGGGTAGCTTGCCAATCCAAAGAATCCGTTCGTAAAACCCAAGCGAGTGCGAGCGAAAATAGTCGTTGAATCCGTCCTCGAGTTCGCTCTCATCTTTGTACTTTTTACAACGTAAGAAATCGTTTTGCGACAAGAACAAGGGATAGTCTGAAGGGAAAATGTCTAGAGAATGTAGTGGATGAGGAAGAATATTCCAGTGTAGGTTGTTCTTCACAAAATCAATCGATCTTTCTGCTTTATGGCAGCTTGCGCCATCCTGAAGAACGAAAACGGGGACTTTTCATTTGTTTCCATAGAGCAATCTCCCGAATTTTTGTTCCACTTTTTGCATATGATGTAGATAAAAATCGGTGTTAAAATTTTGCCTCGGTTTGAGAAATTCCCAGAAAAGGACGCCTGTCGAACATCAACACACAACAATCGCTTCTTTCTGTGGATGTTCCGTTTTGGCACCGTTTTCCCTACTTAGCATTTCTTCAACCACTGCCGTTGTAACACTTGACCACCATAGAAAATCCACGCCTGATCGTGAGTGATGATGTTCGAAAGAGGAAGCCGACCATGCCGTTATTCACTTCACCATTGGTGGCATGTCCGCTTTCTTTTGGCTTGGATTGTTTTCGATATTTCGTATGGAATTTGACGTCGTTTTCTACAATTTCTTTCCACTTTTCACAGCCATCGCCACACAGCCATCCGTCCACAGTAACTTCCAGCCAATTTCCCGGTTGAAACATCGGGGTTTCGCAGGAATCGGTGCCTCAGAATCGATCGAATCCACTTTCCGGGGTCGACCGCTTCCCCTCTTCCATTTGATCCTCGTGTGGCCCGTCTCGAATTTATGAAACCATTCCTGTGCAGTGCTCGTTCCAACGATTCTCTTGCCATAAAATTGATTGATTTCTCGTGCTGCTTTGGTCGCTGAAATCCCTCTTGAAAATCGTTGGAGCAGTAGGGCGTGGATTTATTCTCAATTTAGCTTCATTCGATCGACTGCAACTTTCTTCTCGTGTCCAGCCCTAAAAAAATTAATGTTAGCGCAAGAAAGAAGAAAGTTTTAGGATGGAAAAAAAAAAAGAAGAACAAAATGTTTTGAGCGAGCACTGAGCAAAACAAAAATCTCTGGGTTTTTTTGGGACAATCTAATACATCTGACCACTCGTTTACAGAATATTGAAATCAATTAGATCAAGTTAAGACAATAATCTTAACATTTTAGATCCGTACCTCAAGCCTTCCACTCTACTTGATCTATTTGTGGTTGTCAATCGCGGAAAAGGAGTCCATCAATTTGGGCACTCCATCCCCGCCGCGTTCCCTCATCATGGCCATCCTCTATGGCGGTGATTTCATTAAACAAAAGTGTAAGCATTAAATCTAATTTTCTAGCTTTAATCTAGCTATTTAAATAAACTTTTATAGCACTCACACCGATTCTCCTTGGAATGGGCAAAAATACGCACTACAACTTGGGAATCGCTTCAACTGGCGAGGTGACAAAGCCGAGATTGGTCCCTGTCGCTGCTGAGGTTCGCTAGCTTTTTCGTTTGATAAGTTAAAGGGTTGTTAAGTAGATTGTAGACTAGATTGTAGACTAGATTGTAGACTATATTGTAGACTATATTGTAGACTATATTGTAGACTAGATTGTAGATTAGATTGTAGACTAGATTGTAGACTAGATTGTAGACTAGATTGTAGACTTAACGGTACAAATACCGATTCCATTCAAGTTTAAGCTTACAGTGCCAGTACCGATTTGTTAAGATCGATAATTGTCAATGAACCAAGTCTGCTCATCCCTCTTACTTATTAATGTCTAGAATGTTCTTATGTTTACGCTATGTAAATAGCTTACAGTACTTACCAAAATCTTAACTATCAAGTTGAACTTTAGATCATTAAAGCCTCCCTTTCCACATCACATTCCCTTCTCTTGACATCTGATGGAAGAGTCTATGCGATGGGACGTTGTGAGGGATATCGAACTGGTTTATCGAGAAATGATGTTGCCGCAAGTCCACAACTTGTACCACTTCCAAAAGTATGATTTAAAAAGTGGATCCTGGGAAAAGCTTGGACACTATCCGATTATCTCCGTCACATTTCAGAGGGCCTAGATTGACCAAAATCGTTCTGATTCAATCACAACGAGATTTTGACAAGAGCGCACTCAAAAATCCCACTCGACTCTCAACTTTTGATGGTCATATAAAAAAGTTGAAAGCTTGAATCGATTAGATAATGTGCACCGTTCTAGGAAAAATTCTTAAGATTTATCTCCAGAAAAATCAGAACGATTGACTCAATTTTGGCCAATCTAGGCTCTCTGAAGTCTGGCACTATAATTATGAACCTTGTGTCTTGTGGATTGAACTGTAGATATCATATTTGATGGATCAAGTAAAGTTGATAAGTTTAAACTTGAAACTGTAAAAGTTAAGATGCATACCGTTAACCTGAAAGCAACAGATCAAGTTTTATAATCAAAAAAAAAAAGAGTACTGTTGTTTCTAGGGCACTGTTGTTGTCGATGTTGCGGCCGGTGAGGGATATTCGCTGTTTTTAACTCGAAAATCGGTGAGTCTTCATGAATTTTAGTTACGTATTATGAAGAATCTAAAAGTTAAATACAAAATTCAATTGCTAGTCCGATTTTTTGCCGACAAGACTCCTATCCGGTCGGCTACGACGGCTAGAGAGTCAGAGTTTTGTGCTGAGCTTGGCTTGGCTTGACTTAGCCTAAAAATTAAAAGAAATTGGCTTAACTTTACACCCAAAAATTCTGAAACCCTCAAGTCCTTCAACTTGTAAAAAAAAAAAACAATCACAAAAAACAGCTATACGGTTGTGGCTTAAATGTGGCCGCTCGTCTGGGACTTGGCAAAGACGCGGGACCATTTCAACTCCAAAAAATCCCACTTCCACAATTGAGGGAATTGATTTTGGATGAGGTTTGGCTAAATTGGGAAAATAAATCAAAGAAAGAATCAATTTCAGGTTGTGACAACAGAGAAATTCACGCTGATCACCACTTCGTCGGTTTCCGATTTTCTACTTGCTGGCACAAGCTTTGAAAAGAGAAATGTGACGAAGACGTTCGAGTTTCATAAAGGTTTCTTTTAAGCTTGGTTTTTCTGCTTAAAACAATACCAAAAAGAGATAGAGATTTGGGAGATTTTCTAGAAAGACTATAACAAAATGTAAGGCAAAACTCCTCCGTTTCTTGGGCATAGTGACGCCGAAGAAACGGAGGACGGCTCATTTTCCCTTAGATTGTTTTCTGTTTTCCTCAAATTATCCCCAACTTTTCCAATATATTTTTACAGTTAAAAGCCACAACGAAACAAAATTTACATTTTAAAAAAGGGCAAAAAAAAAGCTGAAAATTTCGAATGATTTCAATTTTTGGGTTCTTTTTCGGCTGACTGATGGCCCTTTTCTGTCAATTTCTCTCTTTTCCCTGATCTCTCCCCTCCTCTCACTCACATCAAACCCTTTTTTCCCCAGCCACACACCGTGGGGGTATAGCTCAGGGGTAGAGCGCTCGCTTCGCATGCGAGAAGTCTGGGGTTCAATTCCCCATACCTCCAAATACCTTTTTGCTTTTGCTTTATTGATGGTTTAAACTTCAATGATGGCATTCTATTAGCACTTTGAAAGTGTTTAGTCAATAGATAATGGAATTGGATAGCATTTAACTAGATATTTAACTAGATATTTAACTAGCATTTAACTAGCATTTAACTAGATATTTAACTAGGATTTAACTAGGATTTAACTAGCATTTAACTAATTTGCTAACTAGACTAACTAGACTAAAGATTTAACATTTTCAAGTGATTAGAAGGATTCTCTGTTTAGCTTTCCAAGATTTAGACTACGACCCAGAATGGGATGACATTTTCGTGCCTTGCAGCACACAGCTCGAGGTGTCTGCGCGAATCTCATCGAGGCCACACTGTGGAATTGTCACCGGACAAGATGTGAATCTGAAGCAAGCGAATGAGAGCTATACGGTAAATTTCAATGTCTCTATTTTTCTTCGTCACACAGCTTGATTAAATTGTTTCCTAAAAGATGTACTTGGGCAAAAATGGTCGTAATCTGTTGTTTAAAAGGTTCACTTGAGCAAAAAGTTACCGTAATTCTAGCGAAGATCAATGGGATAGGTTAATTTCCGCCATTTTATTTGCGAAATTAGGTCTTTTGCGCAACTCGCCATAACTTTGCCCTAAGTCGGCCAATCTTTATGATTTTGGTTTCATTTTGTTGCACTTATTGAGATCTACAAAATGAAACCAAAATCATAAAGATTGGCCGACTTAGGGCAAAGTTATGGCGAGTTGCGCAAACGACCCAGTTGCGCAAATAAAATGGCGGAAATTAACCTATCCCATTGATTTTAGCTAGAATTACAGTAACTTTTTGCTCAAGTGAACCTTTAGACAACAGATTACGGTCATTTCTGCAACAAGTACATCTTTTAGGAAACAATTTAATCAAGCAAATGACTCTGTTGCGCAAAAAATTTGGCGCAAAGTAGCCTGCCCCAAGATCAACTTTCTCCATAACAGAAATGCTAAATAATACGCGAGCTACCGTAATCCAAAGTTTAAAAGTTAATCAGAATACGGTAGATTTTCTAAGTGTACTTTTGAAAAAAACATTTTATTTAAAAATATCTTCAGGTGAGATTCGTTTTGTTCAACAATGCTTTGCGCTATCGTTTTGCGCATTCGAACTTTATTGGTGAGGTCATCTACGCGATCGATGGCATTTTATTTGGATTCGGTAAATGATTAGACAATTTTACAATACTTTACATCACTAAAATAGTTTGAGTTGTCTAGGGGTAAAATACAAGTTAATGACAATTGCGGGCAGACATAAAGCTTACATAGCCCAAAGAAATACACAAAACTATGCACGAATGAAGAAAGACTTTTGCAAAAGATGATTCTTTTATAAAAAAACACGTTTACAATAAATTTATTCAAATTCTAAAGTTATTAAAGACTAAGAAATTACCAATATATGCAAAAGAATAAAAAAAGGAAAGTTACAAACGAGTAAATTAAAAATCAGAAAGGAAACTTCAAAAAAAGGCAACTGATCTTTTACGATAAAGAAAAAACGTTTAGAAAATCTAGATAAAATAGTGAGGAAATAGAATTGTACAGTATGTACAGTATGTACAGTATGTACAGTATGTACAGTATGTACAGTATGTACACAGTATTAAATAGAATAGAATTGAACAGTAATCAATACAGTCTTAAATCTTTTTCTTTAGATGTTGCTGAGTTCTCGGTGGATTCAAAAGGAGGCGTCTACTTGAGAGCCGCTCTTGACACGGGGATTACGAGAAGGGTATTGAGATTGAAATTTGAGAAAACTAAAGCCAATTTTTCATTATCCTCCTTCAGCACGAGTAAAGTAGTGTAGTGTACGAGTAAATTATTGTAGAGTTTACTGTAAACTATTGGGTTGGTCAATTGAAAACTGCCGGATTTTGAACTAAAATTTATTCAACATAAAACCATAAATTCATTCCAAATAATTTCCATTATTATTGACGACTTCTGCCCATTTTACAGGCAATTTGTGGATTCCTCTTTCGTAGTAGGATTCTGGTTTGTGTGTGAGACAAGTGTGAGACTCAAAAATGGAGGACTGGAGATGTCAGCTGTCAGCCCAGTTTGAGCACTTTCTTCAAAAGAAACCCATTTTTGTGTGAATAGAAAAGTTGTAGAGAATCAAAAATGAGGCTTATAGCCAAATTTCCAAAAAGATACACTTAGTAGTTTCGCTTAAAATGTAAGTTTTGTGAAAATTCGTAAATTTGGCATTTCATGAAAACCAGTTTTTGAATCGTTCTGAAAATTTGGATATAAGCTTGATTTTTGCTTCTCTACAACTTTTTCATTGACACCAAAATGGGTTTCTTTTGAAGAAAGTCCTCAAACTGTCACATATGACAATAGCCCGCAGTTTTCAATTCACCAATCCAATAATTTCATTTACAGTACTTATGAACTTTTCCAGGTTTACTCTGTTTACCGAGGTCGAGTAGCGATTTGGCCAAAAGAGGACTCGACATTTGAAACTGCGAGAAGCAACCGAAAAAAAGAAATCAACATGAGCGGATTGGCTATCGTTTTCCTTTTACAAGTAATTTATCGATAATTCATTCGCCTTTTCGCACTGATTTCTTAGTTTTGTAGAAGAATATCGATAAATTCAAGGTCGCCAATCAATTCCCTGACCCCGAAAACCCCTGGGTACAAGTTTAGAGCAAAATTTCTTCCATTCTATCATCAACAAAGCAAAAGAGAAATCCCTGTAAATGATTAGCAAGGTGTTCTTTGTGCGGCCGGGTAATCGCTCGCTTTCTAGCACAGCTTCCCGATAGATAGGTGTTCTCCTTTGGTATCCTCTAATGTGGAGGGAGCGGTGAGCGATTGAGCCAATTCCATCGCCTTGGGCGCCACGACAACGACGCCACGACAACGACGCCACGACAACGACGCCACGACGCCACGACAACGACGCCACAAAAAAAAAGCCCACGACAACGACAACAAAACAAAAAACAAAAAAGAAAACAACAAAAAAAACAAAAAAAAAAAAACAAAACAAAAAGACAAAAAAAAACAAAAAAAACGAGAACGCCACGACAACAACACGACGACGACGACACAACAAAAAAAACCCCACAAAAAAAAACCAAAAAAAGAAAAAGGCACGCCACGACAACGACGCCACGACAACGACGCCACGACAACGACGCCACGACAACGACGCCAAATCCCCCGCGAACAATTCAGCCGCAAATCCGGCCGCATCCTCGCTACAAATTCTGGATCCTGGATGCTGATTCCTGCCCCAAATTTGTCTCTATATTTCCACAAATTTAAGCAGAAATTTTTTAAAGAAAGTGTTAAAAAACAGTGTTTACTTGAGTGTCTTGTATATTGATTTTCTTAGGATTGAGTGCCCCGATCAGATTCTTTTTTTATATCATTAAAACTATTTTACACTCCAGTAACAAGATCATTCATTTTTGATAGACACTATAGCTTTTTAAATCTCGGAAAACGATTTTTTTTAGCCGATCGCGAACACTTCATATGCTACATCATTGAGCGTTTCACCGGACGGCGAGAATGCGATTTTCGTGATCGGAGAAAAGGAGGAGCAAAATGAGGGAAAATTGAGGAATTGGGCTGGACAGCGCTTGATTGCTGAACCGATCAAAGAAGTACCGTTTGATGCAAAGGTGAGACTGAATTTTTGACTTGAAAACAATGCGGAAGGAAACTATCCAGGCTTGGATTGCGTGTAGCTACTGTAGCCAAGCTACTATAGCTACTGTAGCTACTGTAGCCAAGCTACTATAGCCAAGCTACTGTAGTCACTAGGTTACTACAGTCACGAAATTTTTTCAAATTTTTCCAAATTTTTACTAAACTATTTTTTCTAAGCACTCGTAATTTCTAAGAATGCATGTTTGGTATCAAAAAATAGCCGTGAATCTCAGCTTTCATTTGATACCTATGCGCGCCTTGTAGCATAAACGAGTGGCGAGAAAAACTCGTTCAAAGTTAGACTACGGTGTCATTATCATTAGCCATTGTAACCATTTCTAGATCTGTCTCGGTGGTCGCTCTTGGCCCGTTATGTCATCAGTTTTAGCCCATCGTGTCCCTGAATCGTATCGTTTTCTGAAAGGAAAAGTGATGCACATGGAAGAGGTTGAAATAATTGAAATAATTGAAAATTTGAGAAATTTAAACTTCAAGGCTTTTCACGGGATTCCAAACTCGGCAAAACGAGAAGACTGGCGCTTGGAAGTGAGTCAAATGGTTGCTAGCTATGTAAAAGAAGGAGTAGCTATTTGGAACGCTGAAGGTATAAAGAAATTGAATATAAATTGACTATACATTGAATATCTTTTGAAATAAATAACACCTTAAGATCTGATAAACTTATTAGTTTTAGTATGGGAACCCGAGTCTCCAGCACTTGATTTCGTGAAGAAAGCGCTCGCCGTGCTTGGACTGAAAGCCGTTGGACCAAGGCCAAGCCAAGGGAAAACGATGAGAGCACTTGTGCCAATGTAAATTTAAATATAATCTTCTGATAATATGATATTTTTAGAGTAAAAGGCTCAGCTCAATCAACAGCTCAATCAAATTGTGTTCTTCAATGCGTTGATGAGGATGGAACGGCTGTAATAGAAACGAATAGGTTCGTAAAGAAGAAATTCGAGTTTATACGAGAATCAGGAATAGATTTATAAGTGATCTTTCATTTAAATTGTTTAACATATAAGATTTCTATTCCAGACAACTCCTCGAGCTTCATTCTTACTATTTTGTGCTTGCTGGTAAACACGAGGGTCGAGATTCGTTTGTTGTTCGAGAAAGTCAAGGAATCGTCGAGAAGATTCTCGAAGCGATGGCCAGTCCCGATAGTCTTGTTCAATGCACAAGAGATGAGGTATAAAAATGAATTCACACCAATTCTACTATATTATTCATACAAATAATTTACTGTAAAAATTCTAATAGAAGACCATGGTCTTCTAATTTTCAACCACCTAAAATCAGCCGATCAAAAAATTAGATAAAGGTCCCCGACGAATCAAAAAGATTAAAAATTTTTAAAAACTATTTTAAACAATAGCCCTTGGCATAAAATGTACGAAAAAAAATGTTTAAAAGTTAAATTTTTTTTTACCAAGACTCCAGTATCGTGAGTTTATGGAACCAAATTGGTACCTTATTGAAATCAAATTGATTCTTTATTTGAACCAAATCGGTACCTGATTGGAACCAAATCGGTACTTTATTGGAACCAAATTGATTCTTTATTTGAACCAAATCGGTACTTTATTTGAACCAAATTGATTCTTTATTTGAACCAAATCGGTACCTGATTGGAACCAAATCGGTACCTTATTGAAATCAAATTGATTCTTTATTTGAACCAAATCGGTACCTTATTGGAACCAAATTGATTCTTTATTTAAACCAAATCGGTACCTTATTAAAACCAAATCGTGAGCGTATGGAACCAAATCGGTACCTTATTCCTTTCCATAGCGAATCTTTCAAAGAAAAAACCCATGTGGTCGCCCACATGAAAGTCCTTTCAAAAAATTTAATTTTTCAAAAATCTTGTTTTCAATTTGAATGCTGAGGCTAAAATACTTTTATCTGGACCAAAATCTACCATTCTACCTAAAAAGAAATTTCAAAAAGTCCCAATTTCATGGGGGCCACAGGGGTGGTCTTCTATTAGAATTTTTACGGTAATACAAACAATACACAAGCACCCCTAAGCCCTGGATTTAGGAAATAAAAGAGCTAATAATCTAGAGGGATTGAACCCTTGACCTCTTGGCAAGTTTCGGAAAAATGATTTCGAACAACTCTTGTAGCTGGTAAAGAGCTTAAAGAGCTTAAACTTCGCTCAACACCTAGCTATTTCCAATACGGTTCCTATGTTGATCTAATACGGTCCAACACGGTTCCAATACGGTTCTTTTTTTGATCTAATACGGTTCCAATACGGTTCCTATTTTGATCCAATACGGTTCCTATTTTGATCCAATACGGTTCCAATACGGTTTCAATACGGTTCCTAAATCTCACCTTCTGTAAAAAGCTGTTGTGTTCACTTTTTAAATACATAACCCATTTTAGCTATGTCGAATGTTAATCTTTTGCGATGCTTACGCAATGGATAGCTTAATCGATGACATCATTAGAGCTTTCTTCATCAATGGTAAAGAATTATGATTTCTCTTTTTTAACAAATTCAAATCTAGCCACCGCTAGCTGTTTATTAGATCTATCTGGTTTATATTCTTGGTCTTATTACGCTCAAAATTTCATCATTCGTGAGCTAATCGCTCGCCCGGATTTACTCTTTTTATATACAAAAAGTGAGGAAATCGATCAAGAAATGGCAAAAAGGTTAAATTCATTTCATTTATTCATTTAAAACATTTAAATATTAAAGATTTAAATAGATTTAGAAGATTGAAAATATATTTAATATTTGATCATTATCAATTAAAGATTTGATTATGATTAAATATAATTAAAGACATTATCTTTCAAATCCTTGAACTAAAACTTCGACTACTACAATGCTTGATTAATCTTTAATTCAAAAGAACATCTAAAAGATTTAAAGCTTAAATCAAGATCTGGATCAAGGCCTAGATCAAGGCTTAGATCAAGATCTAGATCAAAACCTAGATCAGGACCTAGATCAAGATCTGGATCAAGGCCTAGCTCAAGACCTAGATCAAGACGTAGATCAAGGCCTAGGTCAAGGCTTAGATCAAGACCTAGATCAAGGCCTAGATCAGGATCTAGATCAAGATCTGAATCAAGGCCTAAATCAAGTCCTAGATCAAGACCTAGATCAAGCACACCCATCAACCTCAAACCCAAAAACAGAAAGGCCTAAATCAAGCCCTAGATCAAGGCCTAGCTCAAGACCCAAAACTAGATATTGTAAAAGATTTTAAACTTATTAGTAACACCGTAATTAGATAGTAGTGATAGCAAAAGATCGGTCCAACTTCAGAACTGATAGTTGTTTTAGTCTCAAATTTGACCAATAGCTGTTTACTAGCTCTTACTTGCGTTTACAGCTTGATCTAGCTTTGTAAATGAGTAATGTAAACTTCAACTTCATTCACTCATTCATGTAAATTTCATTTCCAGAGCCTGTGAAGCAATCGAAGCCGGCACTTGTCGCCGCTCCGGGGTGACCACGGAAAACGCGTTAATGATTGGGCAAGCTATTTGGCACTCGTATGCACATATCTACTCAGATAGGACACAGGTTAATTTAAACACAGAACTGATAGTTGTTTTGGTCCCAAATTTGACCAATATCTGTTTACTAGCTTTTACTCGCAATCTAAACTTATTATAAAACTGGTAACAATTTTACTTTCCATTTATTCTAAAAGGTTGAAAATTTGATTGAAAAAAAGATCAACTAGCTACAGTACTGGACAATGAAATATGATATTTGATATTTGAAAAACGATCGTCACTTTCGCGCGTCTGTAACTCCCTTGTCTTTGAGTTTAAACTATTAGTGTTATACATTTTCTGAAAGCTCTTTTCAAGGGCTACACAATCGTAATATTAATATTTAGAAATACGGTAAAGACAAGGGAGTTACAGACGCGCGAAAGTGACGATCGTTTTTCAAATATTTCATTGTCATTTCAGTGTATTTAGAAAGGATTTTTGATTTTTCTGTAATTTCTAAGAAAGATTTGTTAAGTTTTGAAAGCTGTAACTCAAAACAAAAGCCAATTTTCAGGTAGACGAGGAGAGACTCCTCTTCACAGCTCTTTCTTTTGCCGCTATTCAACCGTACTTTACAAAACAAGCTGTTTTCGGGTATTCGCATGACCCGGAGCTACATCGTTTCACCTTTCCGCAATTAAAGGTCTGAAAATGAGGCTTTCAAAGTAACTGTTTTTAGACTCTTTACAACACGACCGCTCCAGACTACAAAGAGTTCCGGGTACAGAAAAGGTTTGTTTAACCGAAAAGCCCGCTTAACGGTACTTAACTCGCTGAGTGGTGGCGCGCCTAGCTGTCACCGTGGCGCAGTCGGGAGCACTCTCGTCGCCAGCCCACCCGATCCGGGTCCGTAGTGTCTATGGATTTTGCCTTTTTAATTTTTACTTTAAATGCCATAACACTATATTCTAAGGTTTTGTAAAGAAGTTTTAGCTTTATTAGTCAGAACACGGCTGAGAAAATGTCCTTACAGACAGAGAGACAAACAGACAGACAGGCAGACAGACAGACAGGCAGACAGACAGGCAGACAGACAGACAGGCAGGCAGACAGACAGACAGACAGACAGACGGACATCTCTTTTATCTTTTATATATAGATCATTCATGTTAAAGCTAGAATAAGGCCTCTTGCTATATTTAGGATCTTGATATTTAGATTCTAGCTACAGTAGTCAAAGAAAGCCTTATCAAAGTCAAAACTGGAACAGCAGCCATCACTATAGAGCTATAGCTAAAAAGCTTATTGTCTAAAACGAATACTAATTCACATTTACTGTTGTAAGCTTTTAAAGTCTAAAGAACCAAAATCTATATCAAGAAAATCTCTAAAAACAATTTTTATATTTAAAGAGATAAAGAAAATAAATATATAAAGACAAAATCTAAAATAAAGACAATTTTTCAGTGACAATTCCGGCTTGACCGCGGTGGATCGTGAAGAGTTTGACTTGATGAACGCTTTGGTGGAAAGTTTAGGCGATTTCTCGTTTGAGGCTAGTTCTTGAGTTAAACGAATCTCACTAGGTCACTCATTTTTCCAATCTTTAGCTTGTTTGAATTTAAATTTGAGCTGTTTAGGCATAGGCAACTCAAATCTAGCCTGGAGCTCTAGCCTGGAGCACTAGCCTGGAGCTCTAGCCTGGAGCTCTAGCCTGGAGCTCTAGCCTGGAGCTCTAGCCTGGAGCACTAGCCTGGAGCACTAGCCTGGAGCACTAGCCTGGAGCTCTAGCCTGGAGCACTAGCCTGGAGTTAAACTAGGCTAGATTCATTTACATCGTTTATCTATGTTTTAAAATATCTATATTCATGTTTTACATATAAAATTTATGCTATTAACTTTTAATATTATTGTTCCGTAAAATATTTCTCAACTTTAGCCTGAAAAAATGATTGCATCGAAAAGGCGACGCCGCAGAACGGATACCGAACGACAAAAGGAAAACTTGGTACAAAAATTGTAGATTGAGACCTATATTTAGCTTATATTTTTAGAATATAGATTAATTTATGTAAATTTTAAGGATACAAGTATCTGTGAAGTGGCTGAAGAGCAGGTTGAGACGAAAAGAAACGAGCAGAAACGATCGCCAACTCCGGAGATCACATTTGGCTCAAAGCCTATGGTTTCTTTCATTTTGTATTTTAAGCTTTGATCTTTAAGTACACTTTGTGCTCTCTGAAACAAAAAAAAACAAAAAAACCTTTCTGGAATACTCAAAAATTTGAGGCCATTGTACAACCATCATTCCACACTGAAGAGAAACTCGAAGAATCTCCCTCATCTTCAAGATTCAATGAGAATCTCTTCCCAGCGCTAGGATTGGTCAGTGGTTCTCTTTAAAGTTTGAAAAATATTTCAGAACACTCCAAGCAGCTCAAAACATGGAAAAAGACTCCAAATGGGCAATGTCAAGTATCGACGTTTCCCGGAAAATGAAAAGGAAAAACCGAAAGAAAGTGTGGCTCCTTGGTGGGTTCAAAAACAGTAATCAATGAATTAATATCATACTCTATTTTGTGAAAAAACGTTGAAGGGTTTAAGCTTGAGCAAATCCTTATCAACGGATCAGCAGTTACTGTTTTGGGTTCGAAGAAATAGAACAAACAAATAGAACAAACAAATACAATACCAAGTTACTGACCAGGCTCAGGCTCAGCTCATTGCTCAGGCTCAGCTCATTGCTCAGGCTCAGCTCATTGCTCAGGCTCAGCTCATTGCTCAGGCTCAGCTCATTGCTCAGGCTCAGCTCATTGCCTAATTCTAGTTCGATATAGACTAAAACTAACCAATATAAAAATCTCACAAGTCTGACTGGCCCAGGCTCGCCCTGGGCCTCTGTCTTACTCTAGCTTAATTCTACAAAAAATTTGAGTCTTATTCCAGAAGATTCTCTCCTGTTTTATGTCATTTTAAGAATTGAACACTAGATGGGAATCTTTGAAAACAAGAATTGTAAAGAACTGATACATAGATTCCACTTTGCAATAGAAAACGAAATGCTTTTAGGGCTCACCTCTCCTCTCCATCCACATCCATATCACAAAAACTCTCAGAGACTCCAAAAATCGAAGCAAAAGCTCAACCGATTGTTCGAACAAGGAATGAGTCAATGAATACGGTTTGTTGCGATTCTGATTCGAAAAATTTCTTTTAGATTTCTCCACATGATTCTTTGATGGCGATCATGCAAGAAGAGCAACAATTGCAGACTGAAAGATACAGGAGAACGCATCGACCACTCGCTTTTGTTGATGTGCGTCAAAAGTGATTGCAAAATTTGACAAACAGTGCAAGGACTTTTCTCAAAATACCGTATTCTCTCTAATAGTAGTGCGCACTACTATTTTCTTCAACCCCCTCCTGCACCGCAACACTATGAAAGAGTTTTATCATTTACCAAAGTAAGACAGATATAAGATTTGTTCTGCTTTGGCTCCTTTGTAAGACTCAAAGTAAGACTCAAAGTAAGACTTCTTTGGCTCCTTTGTAAGACTCAAAGTAAGCCTCCTTTGGCTCCTTTTGACATACAGTTGTGGGCCAGCGAGTTGACAATTTGTGTCTTGACAAACAACAAAAAGATGTTTTTGCACTTTGCACAACAATTTTAGTTTTTTTGCTAACTTTTTTATGTGAAGAATAGTTAATAAATGAAGAAAAAAAAGCCTCACTTTTGCTTGCTTGAATAGCTTTAGAATGTCTAAACATAAAGTCAAAAAGGTTTCGATGAAAAAGAAGCACCAGAAATTCAAATTTTCGAGGGTGCACTACTAGTTTTTCAACCCCCTCTCGGACCGCAATACTATTAGAGAGTGGAATACTATAATAGTAGTGCACTCTCTAATAGTAGTACTATTAAAGAGTGCACTACTATTAGAGAGTGCACTACTATTAAAGAGAGCACTACTATTAGAGAGTCCACTACTACTAGAGAGTGCACTACTACTAGAGAGTCCACTACTATTAGAGAGTCCACTACTATTAGAGAGTCCACTACTATTAAAGAGAATACGGTAATCAAATTTCTAATCTCTTTTAGATGGAAGAACGCGCAATCATTGAACTCAAGCAACTCTATTTGCAATCGTTTGGTGATGAAGTAGGGAAAATTACAAAAATTATATAATACTTGTACTAATTTCAAACCAATTTCCCTCATAACTTTGTCTAGATATAATCTTTTAAGTTTATTTTGATACTATTTGATGCAAGATTTGATTCTCAATCGAATCGTAGTCTAAACACTCTAAATCAAAAGGTTAATGCTAAGAAAAAGAGGAAAAGTCTCAACTATGCTAGGAAAAAGAGATAGAGATAGCAAAAAGCAGAGATAGCACTAGCAAAAAGAGATAGAGAAATGTTTTCTAGCGCTGAATTGGCTTGGCTTTTTTCCAGACATCAAAAACTAGTGAAGAAGCAGGTTTAAATGCAAGTCTAGATGCATTCAAAAGCTGCAAGAATGTTGTAGCTTTTTATAGGGGATACTTTAGAGAATGTTAGAAGCTAGTAAATCTAAAGATATAAATAATCTAAAGATTGATTTTTCTAAAGATTTACAATCAAGAAAATTTTAGGTGATTATTGATGTGATTCGAGTCGACGCGTTAACCGCGGCACCTATTTGGAAACGACCCACATGAGATAAAACTCGAAAATTATAACACCTTCCCCAGTGCAGCCATAGCCGAGTGGCTAAGGGCCCGGTTTAATAGTCGGAGAGTCGTGGGTTCAAGTCCACGGGGTAGATTTTGAATTCTTTTTTCATCTATAGGTTTTTGTTATATTTAGAGCTTACCAGGGAACCTTCCCAAGTTCAAGATCAAAGATTTCCGAGCGCAGGCACGCTAACCACTAGGCTACGAGCTGACTTTCGGGATGGCGGAAGGAAAGCCTTTCCGCCGGCAAAAATCAGTGTGGCAGAAATTCGAGAAAAGCCTTCATTTTTTCGAAATTCAAATGGCTGTAACTTTGTGCGTTTTGCCGATTAGCGGTTTTTGAAAACAGTTTCTGAACGTACATTTTCAGGCCTTTCTTTTTGCCCCTACCTCATATTGTAACTCGCGCGTAAGTTGGGAAGGTTCCCTGGTTAGGGATTGTGCTTTTATATTGTTTATACTAAATTATACCTGTGAATTAGATACTTTCATTTAGAAATTCTTTATTAACTATCTTTCTTTATTAATTTGTGCCTTTTTCAAACAAAATTTCCTTACTAAACGATTCTTTTCGCAGAGATTGGCCTCCTTCTCTCACTTTTGTGCCTTTAACTCAACGAAAGGGGTAAATTTTCATTGCAATTTTTGTTGTTTATTTTAGAGATTTCTCTTGGAGTTAATAAATTAACTTAAAATTACTTTTAAATACTTTTAAAATTGAAACTATTCACTTAAAATGCAGATTTTTTTTTTTTAAATTTCATTTAATTCTCAGAATTTACACAAATATTTGACTGAAATAATCTTCAATTTTTGAAGTTCAAAACATTGTCTATCGTCATGAAAACCTACAAACTGACCACAAAAAGGATTACAGTAGTTTTATTTACTTTTCTTTTCTTGTTTAAAGAGGGAAATTTGTTTTCTTTTCTTGAGAAACCATAAAATGTTTAAAAATACTCTTTCCCATATGCAAATTTCGGCTTCTATTTTTTTTTTTTTTTTGGAGATTCTCGAAAGTTTATGAGTTTTAAATGTAGTTTTAGAAAGGTTTCTTTAAAGTTATTACGTAGTTCATTGTTTCAATAATGCCTCTTTGAAACAAAACCTTTCTGGAATAGTCAAAAATTTGAGGCCATTGTACATTGTATAAACCACCAAAAGCTCAAGGAAATCAGGAACATCATCAAAATGTCAATTCAAATGTGCCAAATCTGGTTTGGATCACTCAACTCATAAAGCAACTCAGTTTTATTTGGTGTAGATTCAGTGATTGAAGTATCGAATCAATCAACAGTAGGGTTTTGTCATTACAGAAAAATGATTTAAACTGATAGAATTGAACAAAGCTTTGACTAGAGAAAGTCATTCAAAGACAAACATTCAGAAAAGTTAAAAGTTAACTTAAACAAAGTTAAATTAAACAAAGTTAAATTCAAATAACTCCCGAGAGGACATTTGGCTTAGAACCTATGGTTGCTTTCATTCTTAAGCCTTTTCCTTTAAACTTTGTGCTCTTTGAAACAAAACCTTTCTGGAATAGACAAAAATTTGAGGCCATTGTACAACCATCATTCCACACTGAAGAGAAACTCGAAGAATTCTCCCTCATCTTCAAGATTCAATGAGAATCTCTTCCCAGCGCTAGGATTGGTCAGCGAAATGGTTCTCCTTTCTTTTTCTATTTATATTGAGAACTTTATAACTATTGGGTTGGGGACTATGACTCGGCGCCAAACTTTAAAGGGACTTTTTGCACACATAAAGCCTTCTTTAAACATTCGTTTGGTTTCATCAAAAGGATCCACTATCTCTCTACAAAATGACTTTTGAGAGATTCCACAAAGCTTTTCTTTCGTGGAGTTTATGGACTCCCAAACACAGCTAGTCAAAATGGCAAAGAGCCCGACTCATCATTTGAACAGTTTCTTTCACATAAACCTTCTTTGGTGTTTATATAAAAAAGATAGAGCACATTCAATTACTTAAGTTGCCAAATTTGCAGGAAGATCCCACCAATGGTTTTTTCTAGATCACAGTTTGTAGTTTTTGTGAAAAAATGGCTTTTTCTTGAGCGGAGGCGCTGTTTGAATTTTCTTTTAAATGTCATTTTGTAGAGAATTAGTTAACCATTCTACTCATATCAAACGCATATTATTTGACGAAGTCGAATAGAAGTTTTAGACATTTTTTTGATTTTCGGCGCCGAGTCATAGTCCCCAACCCAATATATTTAGCTTTTATTTTTAGAATATAGATAAATTTATGTAAATTTTAAGGATACAAGTATCTGTGAAGTGGCTGAAGAGCAGGTTGAGACGAAAAGAAACGAGCAAAAACGATCGCCAACTCGCCAACGATCCCCAACTCGCCAACTCGCCAACGATCGCCAACTCGCCAACTCGCCAACGATCGCCAACTCGCCAACGATCGCCAACTCGCCAACTCGCCAACGATCGCCAACTCGCCAACGATCGCCAACTCGCCAACTCGCCAACGATCGCCAACTCGCCAACGATCGCCAACTCGCCAACTCGCCAACGATCGCCAACTCGCCAACGATCGCCAACTCGCCAACGATCACTCGCCAACGATCGCCAACTCGCCAACGTCCAACGCCGTCGAACTGAACGATCGCCAACTCGCCAACGATCGCCAACCAAGATCACATTTGGCTTAAAACCTATAGCTGCTTTCATTCTTAAGCCTTTTTCTTACTTTAAGTACACTTTGTGCTCTTTGAAACAAAACCTTTCTGGAATAAGGATTTTGCAGTGATTGAAGAATGAAATCAATAAAATAAAAGCAATAGAATGAAATCAATCAACAGTAGGGTTTTGTCATGACAGAAAAATGATTTAAATTGATATAAATGAACAAAGCTTTGACTAGAAAAAGTCATTTAAAGATAAACTTTCAGAAAAGTTAAAAGTTAAACTAAACAAAATTAAATTCAAATATTTAATCGATTTTTGACTATTTCTTTGTCTAGCTTTTTAATTTTTCTAACTTTTCATTAACAATTTAACATTTTTATAGACATTTCAAAGTTTCTCTTTTTCCATAAAAGTTGATTAGCGATTAAGCGAATTTCGCGAATCTCTCGTGATTTTGGGTGCAAAGTGATTGCAAAATCACGTGTTTCTCTTCTTTCTCCAATCTTTGCAATATCTTTTTTGAAAAAAAATCATCGATATGTCTGTTTTTTAGTAAAAAAAAAATGATGATAAACCGTTTATTGAGTTAGAAAAAGTTAAAAAGGTCAAAATGCAAAGTTTCGTAAGAAATTTTTAACTATATAAAGTATATGAAGTATATGAAAGAGAAATTGAAAACGTGAAGAGATCGGGACTTTATTTTAGAGAGTTTTTAGCTTTATTTTACTTAAATACGTGTTCCTAAAACAAAAATTTTGTGTTAAACTTAAAGTTAACGTAGAAAAATAGCGGATAAACTTTTAAAATTGAAGAATTTTGTTTTTGTAAAGGTGGTAAGTTTTGAAGAAAATTGAATTCAATTACAGTTCAATTACATTTCAATTATAGTTCAATTCAATTCAATTCAATTCAATTCAATTCAATTACAAACAGAGACCTGGGCCACGACACAGACCGCTGAACGAGCCCTGAGAACGACGCATCGAGCCCTTGAAAGGAACCTCCTCGGGTACAATAGGAAGACGCAGCTCGACCAAGACCTAAGCGCCGGATATGCGCCAGCTCTCGGGACTCAGAGATCCAGTGGAAGTGATTGAGAGAAAAAGACTCAGATGGGCCGGAAGAACAGACCACAGATGGACGTAGCCAGAAGAACAGACCACAGATGGACGTAGCCAGAAGAACAGACGACAGATGGACGATACGGATCACAGAGTGGCTACCACGAGACCAGAAGAGGCCCATCGGAAGACCAGCAACGAGGTGGAGCACAAGAGTGGCAGCGACGGTCAGAGAAAGGATGGCTAGAGTGCAACCACCACCAGCAAGTCGAAGACTTCGAACCAGGAACAATCAAGCTAGGAAACACTGGATGACAATAGCAAGGGATAGAGAAATGTGGAAGCAGGTTGTGATCTGCACAAATAGGAACACCTGAGTGCGAAAACAAATCAAAAAAATTACAATTACAATTACAGATTTGGGTACTTTCCCGTTCCCCATTAGATCCATTAGACCCTGACAGCATCAATCCCATTATTCCCCCATACGCATCATTCCCGTTAAAAACCCAAATCTAAAATTAGAATGTCAAACATTTGCATCTATCCGAATGATGTTTTTTTGTGACATCAAATGACAAACTTGTGGCAAAATCCTTCCACAATTGTTCTTCCGCATACAGATTTGGGTACTTTCCCGTTCAACCCTGACAGCATCAATCCCGCTCAACCCTGACAGCATCAATCCCGCTCAACCCTGACAGCATCAATCCCGCTCAACCCTGACAGCATCAATCCCACTATTCCCCCACACGCATCATTCCCGTTAAAAACCCAAATCTAAAATTAGAATGTCAAAAATTTGCATTTATCCGAATGATGTCTTTTTCCAAAAGAAGAAACAAATATTTTTCTATTCTCATTTTCTACCACTGTCGGCTTTAATGTTTTCTTTACCCACCACAGAGGACGAAACTATAAACTTTTTCCGAAAGGACTGCTGGCTTTACGTCGTTAATGCGCAAACGGTCGTAATGATTCTCGATACCAAGAAGAATCCAAGTGATGTGAAAAAGGGAGATGTCGAACCGAGGTTGGTATGTGGACGTTGTGGACTGTGGACGTTGAAAGGGAAAGTACCTAGAATTGTTTGAGAATTCACAAGAGATCGAAAGCTTTCATCATTACTAAAACTTTCATTTCAACAATTTCAATCAGTCCCTTTTAAATGATTTGGTGAAAAATCGGGGATGAAATCGATTCTCCCCGATCTCTCTTTTTCCCCAAAATGCACCCATTCCACAAAAACTATAGTCTTTTTGTG